CAGGGAATAATGAAATAAAACAATAATGGCCTTTTGTTCAATGTTTGCTTGGCTTGTCCACGGTCTGCACTCCCTCCAAGCTCTGTGAAGTCTTCCCAGCGAACCTGGAGTGACTGCTATTTATCTCCCAATTTGCCGTGCTACATGGACAGTACTTTCTTCTTCATATCTAACTTTTTATGGGGTCTTACATCTTCTAGCCAATTGTAAGTTCCTGGAAGACAGACAACATGCTTAATTCATCTGTTTCCCGGTCAATATTTCCCCCTGTGCTTTAATAAACGCACATTGACTCACAGATCAGTGGAGCAATGCTGACATGAGAAAGAGATGGTCCTTTGACTTCATGTTGCTCTTACTATGCGGATCCTTCTGTTGACAAAACCTCAGAGAGTGAATTTTCTATCATTCTGACTGGTGGTCAAATCTGCAGACTCTTGTCTGTCATTCAAGTTCAACAGATAAACCCTGGTGGCCAAATATTATCAGTCCATGAAATGAAAGAGCTAGATAGGCACTTATCCTCAACTAATGCTTTTGCTTTAAAAAAAATAGGCCTTGACCAAGCAACATTTCTTAATATTAAAGCCACCGGTGTAGAGTTTAAAATCATCATTTACTTTCCCTTTGTTATTTAATCATTAAATGGGCCTGGGATAAAACAAGTTTGACTTTTTACTGACTTATTTGGGAACTTAGGAGGTTCAGTGAATGGTTCCAAAGAGATATTGCTCAGCAAACACCGTTTTCTGGAGAATGCACTGGGGTAAATGCACTATCACTACCCTTCGAAATTAGGACTGTGGCCTTGGATATCATGAAAGGACAAAAGGAAAGAAAACAAAGGCAACATACCTAAAAGAATACATTCTGCAAGCGATTGTGCTGACCTTCTAAAAAAAGAGGAAGAAAATGGGACCTAAGTACGGCGATGTTGTTGTTGTCAGTTCCTGTGGAGTTGGCTCACATTCGTAGAGACTCTGTGTACAACAGAAGAAAACACTGCCCAGTCCTCTGTCACCCTCACCATCACTGTTACATGTGAACCTACTGCTGCAGCCAGGGTGTCAACAGCCTTGTGAAGGCTCATTCTCTTTATTGCTGGTCCTCTACCAGACCACACACAGTGCCCTTAGCCGGGGGACCGGTACCTCCTGGTAACAGGCCCAACGTATGTGAGCTGAAGTCTCATCACTCTCACTTCCAAAGAGCATTCTGGCTGTACTTCCTCCAAGACAAATGTGTTTGTCTTCGGTCAGTCTTCTTCACCGACATCATAACTCAAATGCATGACGTCGCCTCTGGTCTTCTTATTCATTGTGTAACTTTCACATGCCTCTGAGGTGACTAAAGGTACCATACCAGACTCAGATCAGGTTCTCCTTAATCCTTAATGTGACATGCTTCCTCATCTACACTTTAAGTCACTGTTTTGACAAACACAGCAGAGTGTATGATTTATTGACTGCTGTTTCCACGAGCTTTGCTTTTGGATCCAAGTAAAATAAAATCCATGACTTCAATCGAAGTGTACACATAATAAGCATAAGGGAAAACATGAAGTCTAAACGTATCAAGAACAACAAAACTAACATTTTAATTCACTCTGAACCAAGTCTTTCTCTCTTTAATCTGTGGGAGGTAGGTAATAGAAAATTTGCAAGGTGGTCCTACTCTGAGCTTTCAGGCCACCTTGGTTACTTACAAGTAACCAAAATAAAGTTAAAAAATTGATGTAAAGATGTGGTGACAGGAAGCCGCACACTCACTTTATCTGCCACCAAGATCCTGATCTTCAGAATCAAGTGTTGAGCTCTTGGCCATTCACCTCTCTGTGGCAGGTCGGAGCCTGCTTTCATCCAGGTCTCTCCCCAGGGCACGCTGCCCCTCAGGTGAACATCTTTCCAAAATTAGCATCCACCAGTCTCACATACTAAAAGTCATCTTTTTAGTAGAATAGTATAAAAGTAAGATATTCTATCTGAAAAGGCTTCAGCAAGATGATTTTTTAAATTATGGGAAAAATAAAAACAATATACAATGTTAATACCATAAGCTCAAATCATATAGATCCTCTCATTCATTTCTGTGCTAAATTAAGTTAGCCACTGATATGTCTCCTATCTATATATGCCAAGCTTCTTGAAACTATCTCCTCTTTCTGTCTCTTCAATCAATTAAATCAAACAGAAGACAGATTAGTCTAATGAGCTGATCTATGTCAGTAAAGACTGGCCTGTTGCAGCTGTCGGGTAAGCATTGGATTGCTAGCTGCAAGGTCTGCAGTTTGAACCCACCAGTTGCTCCAAGGGAGAAAGGAGAGGTTCTCTCATCCGGCAGATGTTTACAGCCTTGTATTTCCTATTTAGAGTTGCCATGTGTCTGCATCAACTGAATAGCACTGGAGTGGGTTTTACACCTACAGCTGTGTTCTAGATGACTGTTCATGAGCCTGAATGCTTAAGCAAGTCATCAAGACTTGGGCTATCGTAACTAAATCAGAATCAAAGGTTTCTAGTCACTTATGTTGCTGGTGTTGTTAGGAGCTGTCAAGTTGGCTCCAACTCATAGCAGCTTCATAACCAAAAAGCACAGACAACACTGGGTCCTGCATCCTCATCAGAATTGCTGTTTGAGTCCCGTGCTGCAGCCTCTGTGCCAATCCATCTTGTTGAGCTTTCCTCTTTTTCGCTGCCCCTCTACCTTACCAAGGATGACGTCCTTCTCCAGGTATTGGTCTAGTCTGCTATCATGTCCAAAGTCAGTTAAAACCAGTGTCTGATTTCATGGGTGAAGCTGACCTTAGATGCTACTTACCCAACTAGAAGGTAGAACAGTGTCTTTACGAATTCTTTTGTGCCAATTAACCAAGTTGTGCCCCGAGATGTTTATTAATTTTGTACCTTGTAGGCTGGTCATAAAAGACCCAATTTTCACACAAGAAAAGAAGGCCTTAATGGTGTCCTAGTTACATGTTGGGTTGGTAACCATCAGGTCGGCAGTTCAAAACCACCAGCCACTCTGCAGAGGAAAGATGACGCTTTCTGCTACTGTAAAGAGTTGTAATCTAGGAGACCCATAGGGACACTTCTACCCTTTCCTATAGGGTCACTATGAGCTGGAATTGATTCGATGGCAGTGAGTTTGGTTTAATTTGCTCACACTGAAAAGTCTTATGTAAGCCTATACTAAGAAATTTTACACATTGTACATTTAATTTTGTTACATTTATGGTATCTACTCAAAAAGACATTTTAATCATACCTTCACTCACAAGCATACTCATATACTTGTAAATCTCAGCTTGTGGATTATAGCTAACACAAGTGAAAAGTGGAATGCTGGGATATTCAGAAATGCTAATGGGCAGTTCTGCTGTTTATCTTGCTATGACAGTGTATCAGGCCAGATCCAGCTCTCTGAAAGGATGATCTCTTACAAATTTCAGTCCTGGAAACCATGAGCTCTTCTAGTGTGTCATATAAGGTCACCATGAGTTAGGATCTATTTCACAGCAGTGGTCTATATGTGGATAATAACTCAGTGTCAGGGATTTGATGCCAAACCATAGAAACCCCATAGGACAAGGTAAAATGCCCCTGGGAAATTGAGAGACTGTTTTTAGGAGTAGAAAGGCCCATCGTTCTCCCGTATCTATAGATAAGGTATTACTACACCAACATGTCAACATGTAGTATACAAATGGATCAATATATAAGTTGTTCAATTCTTAATAGCAATTGCCTATACATTTTTACTAATATGCACTTTCCTCTGATGATTAAGATACCCAGCACCTCATTTTCTAACTCCGGTTACTAGAACACAAGGTTGGATTACTAGGAACACCAGCTATGATGTGTGGTTCACCCACCACCATCCTCACTCAGAGCCACGTGGAGAAGACAGAGTAGAACTGCTCCCTGTGGTTTCTGAGGCTGAAAATCTGTACTGGAGGGGATAGCCTCATCTTTCTCCCTCAGAGTGGTTGGTGGGTTTGAACTGAGAACCTTGCAGCTCAATGTGTAACTCAGTATGCCATCAGGGATACTCTGGTAAACCATAAAGTAAATGAATTAACTCACTGCCATTGCATCAACTCTGACTCAGCAATCCTAGAGGTTAGAGTAAAGCTGCCCTTGTGTGTTTCTAAAATGGTAATGCTTTACGGGAGTAGAAAGCCTCATCTTTCCCCCACGGAGCAGCTGATGGTTTAGAGCTGCTGACTTTGCAGCTAGGAGCACAACGTGCAATGCGTTACATCACCAGGGCTCCTTCTGTGGATAATAGGATCTCTAAAAATATTGCTCCACGATCGTGGTCTTAGGTCATCAGGTGACACATTTTGAAAACATTTTGAAAACGTTTTTCTATGGTCTCATTTCACCTTCGGGCTAGTTTTACTGCTCTATGGCAGTGGTTCTCAATCTTCCTAATGCTGGGACCTTTTGATACAGATCCTCATGTTGTGGTGACCCCCAACCATAAAATTGTTTTCGTTGTTACTTCCTAAATGCAATTTTGCTTCTGTTAATGAATCATCATTTAAGTATCTGATATACTTAATATAATACAGGATGTATTTTCATTGTTAAAAATTGAACATTGTTAAGGCACAGTGATTCATCACAAAACAATATGTAATTATCTATTGTGAAATATTTCTTTCTAATGACAAATAAATGAAATGTTGTCTTGAAGCATGGTATCTCATGGGTAACAGTCTTCCCACCAGGTACTTGTATGTGGGCATATATGCATGTGGGTGGACCCTCCTGGAGGGTGTCCACTCTCCAGATAGAAGCGTGGTGTCTATGTTCCTCAGACTATAGGTGTTTTCCAATGGCCTTAGGCGACCCCTGTGAAAAGGTCGTTTGACCCCCAAAGTGGTTGCGACCCACCGGTTGAGAACCACTGCTCTATGGTTGTGTAGGAGGGTGCTCTGGGAAGAGGGGCACAGGGATTTCGGATGGCAGAAAAGGAGATGGAGGAGCGTTTACCTCACTGGGCTATTGGAAGAGTCCGGGTCATGAGCTGCCACGGTGCCGATAATATTCCCAACTTGGGTGGCTTCCGACACCTCCATGGGGTACAGAGGGGAGGAGAAGACAGGGGGCTCATCCACGTCCTCCACAATGACCTTCACAGTCGTCATGTCGCTGAAGGGCCCCAGGCTCAGGAAGCGAGGGTCGACATCTTTATTGGCTGCTTCGATCCTGAGGGTATAACTGGTTTTTGTTTCAAAGTCCAGTTCCTGTAAAGAGAGTGATTAGGAAAATTAAATTCACCTACGACATCGCAGCCGAGCCTTTTCATTTGTGGAAAGCATTTAGAAATAATCAAGGGTTATGCCCATCAGCATCTTTGCTGTGTCTCCGCCTCTCAGACAACACACGGGGGCCCAGGCCATCACCCTGCCTTATAAGCAGGAGGTTGGTCTTTCCCATGGAAGAGGAATGGCAGCAACTCTTTCCCAACAGGTACAATATTCTCCAACCATGGGAGTCAACTGCACTGCCCGGGGGGTGCACATTAAAAAGAGAAAAATCTCTGTGACTAACTTCCCTTAAAGGTTAGCATGCTGAAAGTGTCCTTAGAGCTTGGTGGTGGTGTAAAAGGTTTACACTTGCCTGGTAGCCCAGAGGATGGTGGTTTGATTCTACCCAGCAGCCTCATGGAGGGATGGCCTGGTGATCTGCTGTCCTAAAATGAGGAAGGCAGCCCAAACCCCGTGGACCACGGCTTTCTTTACACACTCAGTCTCCTAAATTACAAGTCCAGCCACTGAACGCCTCTTCAAAATCATTGAGCCAATTTTGGCAGTTAAAAAAATCATAAAGGGTCATTCAAATCTGGCAAGGGAAGAGTCTTTGCGGAGGAGAAGAATCACACACACACACACACACACACACACACACACCCTCTGCATGTAGCAACTCTGCCAAGAACACGCATCGTGCTATTTTGTGATTATAAAGTGTTCAGTTTTAAAAAATAACTGTCAGCCTTAGTCTCACCTCAGGTAACCTAGCCTCGAATATTTCTCTACGTGGAAATATATATATATGATCAGAATTAATTATAAACTTAAGATACATAGTGTCAGATATAAAGCCAATTACATGGACTTATGAGTACTTAATGAAAAGGTATTAAGGAAAAATGGGCTAAAATGTAATGCTAAGTATAATCCAACTTTATGCATTATACATATGGACACGCTTCTGTGGACTTACATAGCTATGCACATATTTCAGCTCATTCCACCAACAATTTGAGGCAGATTTAGAAAAATCCAAAGTGGTTATATAAACATAAAACAGGATTCTTTTACTACCTATACAATATGTAATATATGTATATGTGTTTATGTATTCATATATTATATACGAGATTCTTACATAATATTCATGTATTATATGAGACTCCACTGCTCATAGTCAGTTAATAACTGAGGAAAATATATGTAAATCAATACTCTGGATAGACTTACAATACAGGCAGTTCTTGGGTTATGAACTCTGACTTATCAACTTCTCTCAAACAACATCACTGCTATCTAGTCAATTCTGACTCCTATCAATCCTAAAAAAACAGAGTCAACGTGCACTTTTGAATTTCCCATGCTGCAAATCTTTAGTGGACCCAAAAGTTTCATCTTTCTGTCCCCCAAAAGTGGCTGGTGGTTTCAAACTGCTGGCCTTGTGACTAGAAGCCCAACGTGTAAACCACTGCACGACCAGGATGCCTTCAACAAAGCCTATATACCCCTTAATGTTATATAAAGCTTCCCTAATGTTCAAACTACTGGAGCAAGTCCCAACCAATTCATCATCACAATCATCATCACAAGCTACATGGCTGCACATGTAGCTTTTAAATCACTGAAAAGATGTCAAACCTTTTCTTGCACTGAAGTCAAGCTAATAAGGGTCATGTGTACCTGGTCTGACTCACCTACACTTTCCATGCAAAGACTTAAAATCCAGGAACAGATCTTATTTCTAACCCAAGGCACTTAGTGAAACATCCATTTGTTTAATGCATCTTATCTGCTATCCAGTGAGCTCCAGAATGCATTTTTGCAAATAACAGAATCCCCAGAGACTAGGGTGATGTTGGTATGTGGAAGAAGTTCAATAAATTCTTATCTGTTGGACAAATCTTGAGCAATCTAGGCAAATCTGCAGCTTGCTACATTAATTATAATTCTGTCACAGGGAATCTTGAAAGTGATGCACAAAAGGATATTAACAGAAAAAAACATTTGATATATTGATTTTGTTGGCCATATATATAAGGATACATACACCCATGCACGTGTATCCTGGGGAAGCATGGGTTTCATTCCTACCTGAGGTTGCAAGTACTCAATCCAGTGACATTTCTTCAGTTTATTTTTTGGTATGTTTTCTAAGAATATGTTTAGGACATACTCACATTTAGTACCAAATGTGAGACTCCAAATCCGCTAATTTCTCTAACATTTTAACTCGGCAGGTCCAAGAAGAACTGACACCAAGGGGACTTCAGGAAGCTTGTGGGGAAATTCCGTGGTCTTTCAGTTCCCTTTGTCCCAAAACTATTTGAAGCATCCTCATGGGTACTTTTCAAAGGCTCCTAGGGTATCCCTGGGCAAATTCTCTTAGAAAAAAGTATGACTAAAGTCATTAAAATTCTCTTTATCCTATTTCTTTTGGAAGTTTCAGGTGGCATTGTGGTTAAAATGCTTGGCTGAACACTGAAAGGTTAAGCGTTTGAACCCACTGGCTGTTCCATGGGAGGAAGCTGTGGCAGTTTGGTTTGGTAGAAACTGGCAGCCTTGGAAACCCATGAGACAGCCCTATGCTGTCATATAGGGTCCCTTTGCATCAGAATTAATGCAAAGGCAGTGCCTGTGTAGGAAGAAACAAAGCAGACTTGTTTATTTAGAAACCCTAAAGAGCCATATAAGTCACTTGAGTAAAAACCTTCTTAGACTATTGTTCTACTACATGTAAACTTTCTAATTACAAAACAAACTTCATTACTACTGATTAAGTGTCTCTATATACCCCAACCAAAACCCACTGCTGTCAGGATGAGTCCAATTTCTGATGACCCTACAGGACTGGGCAGAGCTACCCCAAAGGTGTAAACCTTTATGGGAGACAACTGATTCTTCTTTCTCCCTCTAATCGAATAGGTGGTGGTTTAGAACCACTGACCTTCTAGCTTGGAACTGAGCATTCTAGTCACAGTGCTATCAGTGTTCCTTTCCCTGTATGATTAAGGAACTGGCCAAAGAAACCGAGTACTGTTGAGTTGATTTGGACTCATAATGACCTTGTAAAGAAAGATATTCCAACACAGTAAGTCTTTATGGGAGCTCAGAGCACCGTCATTTCCCCTCAAGTGGCTGCTGAACTTGAATCCACAACCACGCGTTTAGCAGTGCAACACCTAACCCACAGCACCATTTGGGCTCCTTCAGGATGATGTTGTTGGGTGCGGTGGAGTCCGTTCTGATGCATAGTGACCGATCATGTGCCATCCTCACAATTGTTCTTACGCTGCCACCCAACAATGCAGCCACCGGGTCTATCTATCTTGTCAAAGGTCTTCCTCCTTTTCAATAATCCTGTACTTTACCAAGCATGGTATCCTTTCTAAGGACCGACCCTTCTGACCACATGTCCAACATACATGGGGAGAAATCTCACCATCTTCCCTCTATGAGGCATTCTGGCTGCTCTTTCAAAAACACATTTGTTTTGTCTCTTGGAAGTGTTTGGTCTTCCTTCTTCAACATCCAACTCTCACAATAATATTAGGTGATTGAAAATACTAGGACTTAGGTCAGGTGCACCTTAGTCCTATATGACAGAATGTGTTAAAATTCCTGTTTACCACCTCATTTCCATTCGATGCAAACCCACAGCACCCTTTCTGATATTTGTCCAGTTTTCCGAATTTACCAGAAGGAATACCAAATATTCTGTTTTGAAATAAAAGTTGGAGTGACCTGTGAGAAAGTAATTTAAAATGCACTACAGAAATGAATGCAATTATTTTATGGCAACTTTCACAAAATGTGTCTGAAAGGCAACATGAGGTTGGACATCTGGATGCCACCAAGTTGTGAAGAAACGCAGTATTAGGCATGATTATTGCTTGCTTAAAATTGATGATGAAAATAGAGCAACGAGAAAATTCATAGGAATTGCTTGGAATCAAGATTAGAGACGAAAACAATTGCAATGCAAAATTACTTTCAGAGAAAAATCTGCATCAGAGAGAAATCTAGATTCCCCAGAGAGGTACAAGGTAAGGGATTGGATTGTTAAAACAAACGGAAGGAGAACGTTTGCAATATTTTAATTCCTCCTTTTCGTCCTCATTATTGATTTCTACATTAAGCAGGGCATTCTATAAAAATTAAGTTAAACTAGAAAAGCTATGCTTGTCAAAAAAATAAAAAGAAAAAAGCTAAAATCACTATTGAGGTAAAGATTTTCAGTCTGGAAAATCCTACATCTGGTATTATATAGTCATAACCAACTCAATGCACTGGATCACAAATTATCAAGATTTTACAATCGACCTGAAACATCGGTGACACTAATCAACAAACCGAAAGTACTGCCATCAAATCAATACTGACACATAGTGACCCTACAGGACAGGACAGAACTGCCTGGGAGTTTCCAAGACTGTAACTCTTTCCTGGAGTGGGAAACTCCATCTCTCTCCTGCGGAGCAGCTGATGTCCTTTGGGAAGCAGATCTGCAGGTCTGCCCTCTGACTGGACTTGAACTGGGCTTGAACTGACTGGGCTGCAGACTCTTCTGACTAGGCTTGACCCGCCAGCCTTTCACAAGCAGTCAAGCCCAGTTGGCTCCAGAAACTGCCTTCTCACAACTAGGTTGGGGCGCTGAAAGTAAAAAATGGTTAACTTTGTATATGCTTTCCCAAAATATGAAATAAGGTCTTTCACATATTTGTGCTTTAGGAATGAATACATTTTTTAAAATAATCATTTTATTAGGGGTTCATACAACTCATCACAATTTGTACATACATCATTTGTGTCCAGTACATTAGTACATATGTTGGCTTCATCATTCTCACAACACCTGCTTTCCACTTGAGCCCTTGGTGTCAGCTCCTCATTTCTCCCCCTCCCTCCCCATTCACCCCTCCCCCATTGAATACAATTTTAAAAAAGAATTAAGTGTAAATAAGTCAGAGCTAAGCAAAGTTTCTCTGTGAAGT